GCCACTTCCTCACCAACAAATGCAAGTTGATACATCTCTCCCTTCCTCTGCCACGCTTTTGTAGGTATTTTGATGTTCCAATGTTACACCCTGTGGGCTACAGAGATAATACACACAGCCTCAGCTTTAACCCACATGGTATGAGTGCAGGGTGTTAAGAGTTTTTCTCTGGAAGTGCTCATGTAGGATGTTTTGACTCTTGGCTTGGTGGGGAGAAGCAGGCAGGATTTGGGGGTGTCCTCCTGTGGTCACAGGTGATGTGACCTCAGCTAAGCTGAGGGGATGGGTCAGGCTCCCTGCTTACAGGTTTTGGTTCTTAGCTTGGGCAGGTCTAGAGTGTATGTGTGGCCAGTTCCCATACTTCCCCTGCTGCAATATAGCTCCCCCAACCTCTTGTAGCTCCCCTAGTCCTTACATTTCAAAAAGCATTTTTGTGCACACTGCTGTTGTTGTTCATCATTACAAATTTCTGCTAAGCTTGCTGCCTTTACCTTTTATTTTAATCTAGGTATGTTACATACAGAATTTTTCTAGACTTGCATGTTTAAAAAATACAAGTACTTGGGTGATGACTTCAGTATTTTTCAGAATTTGAGATCTAGACCTGGGTAAACTCTCCTCCTACAGCACAGCTTGGAACTTTTGCTGAAGCAAACACAATTTAGCACAGTATGGGGAGGAGTAAAACAAAGAGTTTATATATAAAATATATATTGATGTGAAAAATAGAGGGCTGAATAGAAATGATTCAAAAGACTTGAGCTGGTTTTTTTGGGGTTGTTTTTGTTTCTTGTGTTTTTGGGTTTTTTTTGGTTGGGAAACTGTTCTCAAAACCTGGTTTGGGTTTGTTCAACTGGCCTGTTTTGGTCCTTTCAAGATAAACTTAGGATTTTGTAATCAGTGACCTTGGCACAAGAGTTTCAGAGCGCTGCTTGTTGAATGAAGAATAGAAGCACAGCGTGACCCACATTTCCATTCAGTTGGATGGGATTTGGGATCTCGCGAGATACCAGCAGAATGCTAATTGTGAGCCAGAGAAACTGGCTGGCTCCTGTCTGGAGGATTTGCCTTTAGCTGAGGATGTATTTGAGATTAGTTTTGTAAAGTACTGAAGTGTCCATCGAAGTCGATGCCAGTAACTTTTCAAGCGTGACCAAACCCCACCACTTCACTGTGCAGGCGTCAAGAAGCTCCTGTTTGCAAAGCAGGGTGTGTTTTTACTAGCACTGCTATACTGTGAACTAAACCTTAGGATTATGTATTTATTACTGAGCAATGTCTTTGGCACAATAGCGACAGCTAATACTGTAAAACAAGGAGCTTCTGGTCCAAAATAGATATGTTATTTGAGTTGAACTTAGCAAAAGACTGGGTAGGAGATAAACAGGTAACAGGGGAGAGGAGAGAAGGAATGGGAAGGAGTTAATCATCAGTAGGTTTCATCAAACAGTTCCTGGAGGAGTTGTTATGGGGAGAGAAAAAAAAATAAGGCAAGAATTCCCTTGAAAACATGTCTGAGTAAAAGCTAGAGAATTATATGGGCCTTAATATTTTATTAAATTCATTTTTCTCAGAATTTTATTAGTATTATTTGTATCCATTATAAAATGGAGGTGAGGACAACTGTTATGATTGGAGGCTTTTTTGTGTTAAGTGTGAGAAGGTAGCGCTTTATCTTATCTTGTTCGCTTCTGGAGGATAACTTATTTTTCAAGGCAGACACTAAAAAAACAGATGAAGTGGAACAGAAAAGCTTAGGAAGCTGAGGTACTTCCTCTATGGAAGGAGGGGGATGGTAAGTTTTCCATAAAAATTTTCAGAGGTCTTATTAAGGGTTACTTTCTGGAAATGTGAGCATCTTGTTAGTTCTGCTTTGTTATTTGTGTAAGCAGCTTAGATGTGGTTTTTGTCCTGATAAGTTACAGTCAGTGAGAGCAAGGAGGAAAGACAACAGTAAAATCATCAGTGGAAAGCTGTTTGAAAGAACTGCCTGGAGGAGGGATTTAAGAAGCTGCCGAGAGAAGGAGATTTCAAGAGGCAGCAAAGACAGAGATGTTTGAAGCGGAGTAGATGGTGTTACCAGCTGCTGTGCTGGGCATCAGGCACCAACACATAGCTCAGGCCTTGAGTTCAAACATCACAGGGCATCGCTGCAGCCCCTTCTCAAAGTCTGCCTATGAGATGGGATGGAAGGTCAGAAGAGTGCCCATATCAAGAGAGGGGCGCCTTTTGGCATCTAGACCCTGTGTTACCTGGTAGCACATTTGACATTACGATTAGTTCAAGTCTTCACAAGGATTTCCAAGATAAACTTAATCCTCTGCTGGAGAGAGGAAAACCGGATTTTTGGGAAATAGAGTGAAATTCTGGGAAGGAACATATACTGACACCCTAATTCTCACATCTTTTCAGTATTCAGTCTTGCCAGGTTCCTTTAGACCATATCCTCTTCTATCAAGGTGTTTGGCTCACAGGTTGAGCTCCAGGTGTTTCACGGTAGCTGACTGCCAAGCTGGGCTGTTGGGTCACTTTGTTCTTGTAGCCTTTCTAATATATTCAGTGCCTTGACAGATTTTCTTGGCAAGAACTTTAGAAGATGAGACCATATTGTGCAGAACTTAATATGCTGTTAAACATCAGAACACCTCCTACCATACAAGTCCTGAAGTCCATCACTAAGCTCAGACATGAAAACACCTCTGGTACTTGAGTGATTTTCATAAGGAATGATAGGTGGTAAGGAAGAGTAGTGGGTTTTTTTAGGAGTAGCTTTTGTCTCTACTTGTCTCCTGCTTTTATTTTAAATGGGGTTGAAAAGAACTAGCAGCATCAGTGACGAGACTGATCTGCTAAACTGAATATTTATTAGCTCGTGATATGATAAATCTACACTTTCTGTGCTGCTTCAATATTTTAATCATGCTTGTAGCATTTCAAACAAAAGGGGTGTCAGTCAGATGATTTAAATTGGTATTTGTTCCCCCCCCCCCCCCCTTCTGAATATATGCTTCCATTTTCCTAATATGTCAAGGAAATACTGAGTTTTCAAGCTAGAAACTTATTGCATCTCACTGTTTGATTTCCAGCTGCTCAAAGGTTAGGCACTACAGGGGTGATCAAACTGCTCACAAGTGCCTTGCAACTAGATGCTCCTTCACCGCTGCTCTCTGTGTTTCACAAAATAACTATCCACAGTTGGTGTTTATTTACAGGAAATACTTGTAAACAACTGGCAGCATTGTGCATACAGATGTCAGACTGCAGTGTGTGGCATTTGGCACTATAAGGAAACTGTTTCTCAAAGCAGTTAGTTGTGGTGGATGCACATTTTCTTAGAAGACAACTGTTTGTTCTAATCAGAGTCAGGACTACTCATTTGTGCGTCACAGTATCATGTTGCTTCTAGAAAATCAAAAGAAGGTGTCACCTTTAAGCAAGGCTGACGCAGAATTGGCATTTCAGCAAAGAGCAGACAAGCTGGGGCAGAGTCCCCTGCGGGGCTTACTTCAGTTGTTGTTTTCTTTTTGACAACCTTTAGCAAGTGTTTTCCTGTAAGATTTCACTGTAACGAAAACATTAGAGATCAAGAAGTCAGGTATGTCTTGAACTTGCCATCAGGATTATGATGTGCCTTCCAGCTATTTTACTTTCTGGAGAGGCAGCAGTTCTTTTTAAAGACATCGTGTGCCTGATGTGAAACTGGGTGTTTGTCGAGTGGTGGAAACGCTGCCTCTGACTGGTGACAGCTTGTTAGGGGCCTCAAACATCATAGCAAAGAGGAGTGGTTAGATCGTGTTTGTGGAAGAGGACAAGCTTGCATCGAAGTGGCAATGTCTTTGCTTGGTTGGAACAAGACGTGGTCCCAGTTTGCACTGGTTTTCCGTGTGTGAGCCCAGGGCTGTCAAAGCATGTGTCTTACTGAATGCGGTGTCAACTGATGCAAAATTAGTCAATTTGTGACGAGGTTCTCATGTAGAAAGTAGAAAACGTGTCTGAACTCAGCTGTTCTGAAGTGGATGATAGTAACCACAGTATCTTGGATAATGCAGACTTCTGATCCCTGTTTTTAAGTGCTGTTGGTGGAATAGCTGTTGTTTAAGAATAGCTGTTATTTAAGCATAGCTGTTATTGCAGCTTTTCCACTGACAGAAAGAAGATGAGCAGTTGTGGTGCAAGTCTCAGGATACCTTTGAGTGTCCGCAGCTTGTACTGAGCTCTTAGTGCTGGTTTCTGCCTACCTGCAGCTCTTGGTGCATATCTTCTTCTCTCTATGCTGCTGCAGGGGGGGAAAAGGTGTGAGGGTTTGAAGTGTGGGGGTTTGGGGTTTTTTTGAGGGGAAGGTATCTTGTTCTGCAGTGCTAGAGGGGTCTGTTTAGTATGCATCTCTGTTTCTGTGGTACAAGCAAGCTTGACTTGCATGTTGAAATATAAGGCAAAGCCCTTCCTTTGTTTTTCTGTCACAGCATTTTTAATATATGCCCTTTAAACAGACTAATAGCAGTTGCATATTTTTCTGTGCCTTTAGCAGTAACAGCTTTTTAGATTTACAGCAGCTATTTTCTTTGTGCAGGACTTGGAACTAGACAGAGTGCACGGCCTTAGCCAATAGATTCATTATTCAGTGTAGCAGAGAGGCTGGCAGGTAGAAAAGCAACTGGGGAACTCATGTTTCAGCTAGGAGGCATAAGGGTTATCAGCCTTGACCATCAAGTAGTCCCTTTAAAGAAAGGTATGGTAAACCTAAGGGTAAAAAGGATACCATTGGTTCTTATTCACATAGTTCTATGAAAAATGCCTATTGTGGCATGTGTAGGTGTATGGAAACAAACCAGTATGCATGTGTGTATATAATGTATGTGTGTGAGAATCTCAGGTATTTTAATTCAGTTGATATTTGCAGTACTTCTGGGTTATGGTTTCATGCATCTCTAGTCACATCTGAGATACAGATGGAGGCTTCTGTGCTTTGCTAACTTTTTTGGTTTCTTTGTTTTTCTTAGGGTGATAAATGCAGGGAAAAGCACACACAATGAGGATCAAGCCACCTGTGAAGTCCTCTTTGTCAAGAAGAAAGCTGGAGGCGCTAATTCTACACCGAACAAGAACTCTTCAACAAAACGGAGATCATCACTGCCCAATGGAGAAGGTCTCCAGCTGAAAGACAGTTCGGTAAGCTTCTGTATTTTGTCAATGGAGAATAGGAAATAAATATAAAAGGATGTGGCAATATGACACTGAAAGATGCTTACTGAAGGTTTCATATCTTTTCAGTTACCTTTTATTAATTATCTCTACTTAGGACACTTAACTATATTTTTTCTTAGCTGTACTACTTGATTTTTTTTATTTCTTGAATTGAAAAATGCTTCTTACAGCTCAGCCATTTTATTTTAAAGTTGATTTTATTTTAATAGATGAGGAGGGAAATACTACTTAGATTTTCCTTTTTGCTTCATTTCAGAAAACATAATCCTGAAACATCTGCTGCTGCAAAATACTGTGAGTTTAATGGCTGTGGCTGACTCGTCCAGTGACGGTCACTGTAAGGATAGCAGTATCACTGTTTATACAGTCACACAATTTTATTAAGAGTTAAACAGTCATTTTGGTTCTTTTCACTGAAGCAGTATTGCTGTAGCTTGGTTGGTTTATGCAGGTAGGGTAAGGTCACCGAGCACACTGAATTCAAGGATTTTTTTGCAGACTGTGGCTCCTCTCTTTGCGTGGAGAGTGATTTACGACATGCATGGTACTGGCAATCTTTTGCTATTCATCTGTTTTGCTTCCTGACTGGCTAATTACTTCATCTGCTCCGTAAGCAAGATATCGGGCTCCAGCAGTGATTGATAGTGTGTGTTCCATTCAGCCATGTAATGCTAAATGCCATATCTGAGTGTTGCAGTCAGACAATTTGGGTATGCAGTCTTTCTGCTGCAGGGAGAACACAAGTTCTCCCTAAGTGATAATTAGTCTTTCAGTGGGCTGTAAGTACCCTTTTTTGATATTTTTGTTTTAAAGCAGGTTGCAATTAGCAGTCTGCTTCAGTCTGTTTCTCAAAACCCCATGGTTTGGTACAACTGATGGCTGCAGGGGTCACTGGGGTCCTGGGCAACAACCATGCTTCTTGCACTGTGTCCCTCCCCACCTCTTGCTCCTCCTGTTCTGTTTCATATTTCATTATTGCTGCAACATTTTCAGACTGATTTTCCAGGTTTGCAAATGGCCCTGTTCCTTCCTCTTTCAAATCTGTCCTTAAATCACCTGTCCCAGTTCCTGTGTGCTGATATTCCTCATTGTATTCAGGCAGCCATGACTTTTTTTTCATGTACATATTTGAATACTCCTGGATAAAGAATTTTGCCCTGTACTTGCTGCGACTAATGAGTTCTGTGTACACTCATGCAAGGCAAAACAGAATTTGTATTAATAGTCTGTTTTAAAAAGTCTTTCCTAGAAAGCCTGTGCAACTGACTGCTACTGGCTCATGCAGATGCTTGGTTCCATGAGTGTATTTAAGTTTTATATGCATGAATTAGGTTTAATGAGGCAAGCATTCAGCCACAGTACTTATTAATGTATAAAAACCATGTCAAGATAAGCAATAATGTGCTTCAGGTGATGGGTTTGTTTGACACAGGCATCACTGTGTCATGCACATAACAGCATTCTGCAAAGACCCCTATGCAGACACCAACCTGGGCAGGCACATCTTGGTGCTGTGGAAAGGTACTAGCTGTGATCCACTACCACATTTAATTTCCAGGCCTACCATGAGACATACCTGGTCAGAGGCTTCTGCATCTGGAATGTAGGCAGATGTAGCTGTACTGAATTTGCCTATGTTTTCATATTTTGAGGGCATGCATGTGTCAGAAAGCTTTGTAGCAGTGTGTCGTGGTTTAGGGCTGGTCTGGCCACTAAATGCTGGACAGATGCACTCTGTTAACCCCTCTCCCCTCCCCAGAAAGGAAGAGAAAGAGAATAAGGGAGAGAGACTTATGGATTGGAAATATTTTCTTTTATCACAATTTTGGAATAAACAGCCATTCCCTTTCAAGCTTCTTGAGAGAAGTATTTTCATTTTGAATCTTCTTTATTCTATTTCTGATACATTTTGACTGGAAATTAGCATCATGTCTGAAGTGAGGAGCCAGCTGATCTGTGTAATATAGTATACTGTTTTCATCCTACTTGTTATCGTGTTCTTTGTATGTTCTCTTCTTATCTACAAATTTACTTCTGTTTTCTACATGACACTTGAATGAGTGTTATAGCATTCATTATTTAGCTGTGTAAAACCTATTCTACCATGTTATTAGACCACAGCTTGTGAATTTAAATCTGTACTTTATTTTCCCAAAACAGGCAGCATCTTTCTTGGAGAAAGATTTCTACTAGAGGGCAGTCTTACACTAGCAATTAGTAGGATTTTTTCCTTGGTATGTTTTTTTGCTAGTTGAATATATTTGAAAAGGAAATAAAAAAGATGTACACATTTCTATAATGTATCATAATTTTATATTCTCATATTTTGGTAATGTAAATCATAATACTGTGTTTTGCTTCACATATCATTGCTAGCAAATATTTTAAGGAGTGTACCTGTTGGTGTTAAATGTGATATGAGTGCAACTTACTCTGTATCAATAGGATGTAGAAATACAGACTTGAGACACTCCAGTGAATAGTATAATGTCATTCCAGCAAGTATTTAGTAAGAAAGCCAGAGGCTGAATTCTGTAAATGCCTCCAAGGGAAATCCCAGTGTAACACACAATATGAAATAACCTCTGAGTGGTGAAATAGAAATAGAAATTGTAGAAATATTGAAGAAAGGAAGGGTTGAGGGAGGGAGTTTATTTATTATTTGTCTGATGAAAAGATAAAAAGATTTATTCTTGTTCTTGTTTAGTTTTTTGAAGTGTGGAGCACAAGGGAAATAGGAACTGGAACTGAAAGTGTCTCTTAATTTCAATGTCCTCAGCTTTTTCTTCTTTCCCACCCTCTTTGAGAAGGCCACATGCCATCTTTGTTTAACCCTGCTTTCTAGGGAGTTTGTGAAACATAAATGGCAGCATCATCTGAGGTTGTGGGATTATTGTTATTTAATGCTGACCCCATCAACGCTGTCCCACGCTTTGGCAAGGCAGCATAAGGGAGTCTGAGATCCACAGGTTGTCTGTGTGGGTCGGGTGCTGCTGTCTTGGCCTTGACGCTGTGGGTGGACTCTGGAGAGCTTTCAAGGGTAGGAAGGAGGAGGTGATGGGCCAGAAGTGAGGAGATGGAGAAGTGAACATTTTTCTACCCTCACACATACATACAGTAAGTAATCCAATAAAATGTGTTAAACAGCATAAATAGGTTTTTCTTCTTGAAAGGGTGGATGATAAACTGAGCAGGACAGCGAAAGAAAAGGCTCTGCAAATTCAACCCTAAATTAATTCTCTCCTCTTT